GACTTACACAGTGCTATATACAGGACACACACGGGGCTATATACAGGACACACACAGGGCTACAGTATATACAGGACACACACGGGGCTATATACAGGACACACACAGGGCTACAGTATATACAGGACACACACAGGGCTATTTACAGGACACACACAGGGCTATGTACAGGACTTACACAGGGCTATGTGCAAGACTCGCGAGAATGCCGGGATACTCAATCCCCAGTGACACTGCATTATCAAACATGTAAGTGTCCCAGTTTACCCTTTGTCCCACTTAAACAACCTAAGAATGGTATGTTTTAAAACTGGTGATAATTTCGTAAGAATTCGTTAAAATAAGTTAATTATGTGATGTTATCTTAAACAATTGAAGAGTTTCAATCAATCTTGAAAGATATGTGTGGCACGTGTGTTATTAATCATCTTGATTCATTTTCACGCCGTAATCTCATTTCCTTCTAAGAATTAAATAACTTTCATGACATCATGCCATCTTTACTCAGTCACAGTTACTCAGAGCTGCTACAATACACTGGCCATGCCCATGCAGTCACCTTCGGGACAGTCATTTAGCCCTATAACCAATGTATTCTGTTACAGATAATCCAAGTATGGTGTTCTTTGCAATCTACTCTGAAATAATAATATTCTTTTCATCTTATTATTAGCAGGTGCCTAGGTCAGGCTGTAATGCCACGTTATGTTTGAGCCAGCAGACGACCAGTACCATAAAGACAAAACGTTTAAAAATCTATATATGCATTTTAGCCATTACACCCACAGGAACCTTTCTGACATCCCATTCTAAATCCACAGGCATCAATATGGAGCTGGTCCCCCCTTTGCAGCTATAACAGCTGCCACTCTTCTGGGGAGGCTTTCCACAAGATTTTGGAGTATATCTGTGGGAATTTTTGCCCATTCATCCAGAAGAGCATTTGTGAGGTCAGGCACTGATGTTGAATATGAAGGCCTGGCTCGCAATCTGTGTTCTAGTTCATCCCAAAGCTGTTCGACCGGGTGGAGGTCAGGGCTCTGTGCAGGCCAGTCAAGTTTTTCCAGTACAAGTTCATCCCATCGGGATCAGTGCGCACCTGTCCCTGTCCCTGTCCCAGTCCCTGTCCCTGTCTTCTCCCTGTCTGGCCAGCAGTTTTTGCTGGTCCCCTGTTTGCTTTTACCCTGCTGTGTTTTTCTCTGCCCCAGGCTGCCGTGTGGCTTAATGGTCCAAGCAGTTGTCCACTGTCCTAACGTCCCTTTTGTTGTGGGTTCTTATTTAACATTTATTTTGTGGTTTTTCTTGGTTTATCATGTGTTTGTGTATTTCAGTTACAGTCCTTTGTTTTTGGTCCCTGTTCCCTGTTTGTAGTATGTTCAGTTTTCATTGTTTGCTGTTTGGCCCTTTTCTGTATCTGATTGCCCCCGCCTGTTCCTTGTTGATGTGAGTCCTTTGTGATTGGTTAATTGGTTATGGTTCTCACCTGTCCTTCGTCTAGTCTTGTTATTAGTATTTTTAAGTGCCTGCTTTTGTTCTGTTCCTCAGGGGGTTCCCTGTGGAGCTCTGTGATTGTTAGTTGTAATCATGATGGTTATTCTGTGTTAGGTATTGTTGTTTTCTGGTGTTGCCCCCTGTATTAATTTCTGTTTTATCATTTTTGTTTTGACCCCTTGTGGTCCCTTTATATTCTGACTCTCCCTTTGTGTTCCATTCCATTAATAAACCCCTGTTTTGTTTAAATTGCTGCATGGATCATCTCTCCTTCATCATGCCTCGCTGTAACACGCCCAACCATGTTGTTATGGGCAATGCTTGGTGCACTGGGGTACAGTCATGCTGGAACAGGAAAGGGTTCCTTCCCCAAACGGTTTCCTCAAAATTGGAATCACAAAATTGTCGAAAATGTTTGGGCATGCTGAAGCATTAAGAGTTCCTTTCACTGGAACTAAGGGGCCCAACCCAACCCCTGAAAAATACCCCCATACCATTATCCCTCCTCACCAAACTTTACAGTTGGCGCAATGCAGTCAGGCAGGTAACGTTCTCCTGGCATCTGCCAAACTCAGACTCATCCATCAGACTGCCAGACAGAGAAGTGAGATTTGTCACTCCACCAAACACAATTCCACTGCTCCAGAGTCCAGTGGCAGTGTGCTTTACTCCACACCATCCGACGCTTGGCATTGTGCTTGGTGAACGTTTGTTAAACTATGTACATGACAACTGGCTTAATCAGAGATAAAGCTAAACATTTTTTTTTACATTTGACATTTACTTTATTCTGCACTGTTCTACAACATATTTCTAAAAGACTTGATTAAATATGTGATAAGAAATACAATGAATGCAGTTACATCAATACTAATGTGGATAATTAAGCAATTAATATTCTAGCATGCTTAGGGTCATGTATTAAAATGATAAACTCAGTCAATTGCAAATAGTGAACAGACAATTCGACAGTGAGGGATGCTGTGGCCAAGTGTGTAAGCTTGAAACAAAAAGGAATGATGCCGATCACAGGCACAGGGCCAAATGTAACGCAGCACCCTTGGAGTGATCGGGGTTAAAGGGCCTCACATGAGGGCCCGGTGGCGACCTGCCGATCACAGGCACAGGGCCAAACGTAACGCAGCACCCTTGGAGTGATCGGGGATAAAGGGCCTCACACGAGAGCCCGGTGGCGACCTGCCGATCACAGGCGCAAACATAACGCAGCGCCCCCCAAAAAGCATGCTACCACCGAAGCACCAATGCAAACATAAACCAGTGCTTGTATTATAAGTCATACAATAACAGAGATAATATTTTAGCAGAGCAGGGAAAGATGTCATATGATCAGATGAATCATCCTTCTCTTGTTCTCGACAAACAGATGAAGACACGTGTGCCAGTCCAACTGAAACAAGCAGTCATTTCTTCTCCCCAGAGTAATGGGTTGTAACAACCCTGCTCTTGGTGTTGGGTCCATTTTCCTCATTTCAGTTTACTCAGCTCCTTAGAGGACCAGGTAAATGATAACCCAGATTTATTGCGAATGATCACGCGGATCCTATAGTGAAATGCTGGTGTCATGACAGGAGTGCAGTCTTCCATTGTGATGATGCTCCCATCTACAAGCACTGAGTGATGAGGCAGATCTTAGCCTCAGATCTTAACCCACTGAACACTTAGTCAGCAAGACCAAGAAAGCACCAAATGGCATAATGTCCCATAAGGTAATGGTGTCATGGCCCTTTCATTAAGCTCACTGGAGCTGTTTTGTAAATATAAGTGGTTGGGGTTTGGTGCTGTGGGATCATTTGATAAAATTGCCCTGTGGTATTAATCAATCGGTACCGAGTACAGACTGAGCACTGAGAACAGGTGAGATAGACAGACTTACCCAATACAGTTTAGCACCACAAGGCAAACAAAGGCAACGGCAGATCACTTGTTGATTTTTGGTGGAAGGGATGGGAAGTGCTTAAGGGCACCTTCATGGAAAAATAGGTCAGCAAACTCAAGAAAGACAGAAAGTTAGCTCTCCAACTTAAGTGAGCACCAGGTAAACCACAGAGAGCCTGGGCATTGCTCACAAACACACACACGCACACACAGACACATAACCAGCTTACAATACTTACCATAAATAAAATACCCACCAAC